CCTCTCCATGTCCATTTGGCTTCCATTTTGTGAAGTTTGCTGAGTTGCGTGCATCCTGCGAAAGCCCGGTGGGCAATACACAACAAGGGTGGTGGGGTGTGCACTTCGCGCAACGAAATGCACTTTAGGAAGGCTTCTCGTCCAATACGCCGTAGTCTCTTGGCGAGACTGAGCTGTTCCAGGTGCGAGCAGTGTGCAAAGGCTGCTCGCCAAGTTCGTCTCCACACCTTGCTGTTAGTGAGCGATTGGCACCCAGGTGAGAACCTCAGTTCTTTGTCTGTGGGAGTCAGCACTCAGCCAATCTTGTGCAAAGATGGCGCAAGGACCATGCTAGGAGATATTTCGGTTTCACCAGTTTCACCAGGGCCACGCACGTCCGTGGATAGTACCGCTCTATCCATCTCATTTTGCAATTTGCACGCCCCCCAGGCTCCTTCCGCTTGTTGCCCGGGAGCCTATTGGGCGGGCGTGTGATGCCTCCCCCTGCTTGAGGGAGGTCAATCGGTTGCCTGCAGCCGCACTTTCGTTGCGATGTCCATCACCTCTGTACCCAAGTCTGGCCACAGCCTCCTTTGCTCGCGCAGTCATTTGCAGTGGTTGTGCCATAGAATGGCTGTTTTCCAAGGCCTGCAAAGCATTGCAACTTGATGACCAGTAACGATCATCTTCGACGTGACGTGCTGCAAATTATTCGCACCAGCTGCTCTGTTAGTTTTCGAACAAGGCTGAAGTGCCTGCAACCGAACCTGGCAAGGGTGACTCTTCCCCTTGTCTGCGCACGAAGGCCACTGTTGAATGGCCTTCAAGGACAACAGCCAAAGTCCTGATACAGCGTACTGCATACGTCGAGAATTCGGGCCCAACTAGTTAGTACGACACTCTCTCAAGTTTCACACGTCTCACCTTAGTACAGACGAAACTTTGCCCACATTGGTTGTTGGGGTCCTTTTGGTGCTGGTGGTTTTGGGGTCGGTTTTTGGGTTTGGTTTTGTGTGTGTTTTTTGTTGTTTTCGGATTGCCCCCCCTACCAATAAGCAGAGTTTCCATCCTTCCTATGGTGACCTGGGCACACCGCCCACATGGCGTCCGTACTCGTGGAAAAAAAACAAGCTTGGCACAGCTTTCAAAGGCATATGGCCCTATCCAGCTCCTTTGGCTAATTCGCAAGCACCGTCAGTGATGATGCCAACTTGTTCTAGGGCGCAGCGTTCAGAAAAGAGTCGTACTCCAAATGCAACGCAACCAGGCATTTCGACGGGCAAAACACCCTTGAAAAGCCGCATACTCTACAGCCACAACTGTGTCAGGAAGCTTGACAATTTGCAGCGAGTAGCAATATCGCCAAGCTTCTCGGTCAATCATGTGAAAGCTGGGGTTGGGTCGACGCTTACATGCCGAAGTCGCGCAACTGATGAGAAAGCTTTGGCCGAGACTATCCCAGTGGCATTAGCAGGGACCCAAACAGCTTTGGGATAATCTTCATACTCTTCCCCTTGAATTTGATCCCTGCAGTCATACTTCTGGAAACAATCCTGAACAATCAGATGGTACTGAGTGTTACCCCAAAGGGCTTCTTGGATTGCATCACACAATGCCTGCTGAGTATACGGTAAGTTCACACCCGAACGTGTCTAAGACTGACAGCTGGCAAATGTTCCACTAGGTAGTCCTCCAGCATGTCCCATCTGTGATGTATGCTCACAGGCACTACAATTTGAATGACAGTGCCTGCCATGGTAGCAAGGAGGCAACTGCCAGCCATCTCGTCGTCCTCATTGCGCCACAATGGCGTAGGGCTTTCCATATGGATGACAAGGGGGGAAGTTTGACCGCGCCGGCGATCAGCTTTCCGCAATCTAATATGACTGGCTTCAGCCAACTGCAGAGGGAAGCCAGCCGCTCACTTAATCGCAATGGTAGCTTTAGGTTCCTGGGTGTTGTCGCAGTAGTAGTCATCCATTTTGGTACGCGGCAGGTTGGGTTCGCTTCCTACCAAAGCAAAAAGGTTTGCTCCAGGACAGCATCTAGGGATGCCGCCTGCTGGGAGGGCCGTGCTGGCTTGCGCCCTCAAAGGAGGCCTCTCCCTGACACTGAGGGCTTGTCATTGCCCTCTTGCTGCAGGGGGCTGGGTCATGACTATCCTGAGCGGGCCCAGATTGCACCATCAACCCCGGGCCCTGCTCTGTGACTGGGTCATGTTGCTCAGCTTGTCCCGGTTCGGGGGTTGCAACTATGGGATTTGCCTGATTGTGGTGGAGTAGTAGCCTGATCGCGACCTTGCTGCTTCGAATTCAGTGGTCTCCTGCAGATGCCTTCGGTGGCTGATCCTCGCTACCGCCCTCTCCCACGTGCTAAGGAACAGCGATTTGACGTGGGGAAGCGCGTATGGCCGCGTTTGGTTGTTTTTCTCCTCGGATGGAAAGCCCTGCAGGAAATATCTTCTGAGCAAGTAAAAAGTCAGTCACTTTTTTTTGCACGGGTCGAGGCGCTATGTGTGCAGAGGACGCACAAGTCACCTTAAGCTAGTAAAGAGAGAGTTACGAACCATGAGGCCAAACACCACCGACCAGGAAACACACAAACAAACAAACAAAAAACACAAACCCACAAACCAAAACCCCAAAACAAAGGCCAGGTTCGTAACTCGAGTCGGCTATGTCAGCCTGTCGAGAAAGGTGAGACATGGGGCTATGAATTTAGTAAGAAAAAGTCAGTCACAGTACATGTTCTACTTAAGAGTTTCGATTGTTTCTGCAGGTACGCGACAGAAGTTTGCCATACCGCTGGGTTTCCATGGTTTTGCAGCGCCGCAGGCACTTGTTCTCCACACCCTGCGAACATGCATGTCCACACATGTTCTTGAACTGGGGAGGCCCTCTGCGGCGAGACCGGTTTTTGCTAGGGTTTTTGGACCCCAAACTGGTGTCCAGAAAAATCACTTTTTTCGATCCCTTGAAGGAGCAAAAAGTTTGGAAAACCTGTGAGATTTGAGAATTGCTGGGGGGAAAGCGTTTGGCCTGTATTTGTTCTTGATCGGAAGCAATCAAGCTTACGGATCAATGGTCAGCTGCTTTTTTCGGCAGTCTGATTGCGGCCTTGCACGCTTGGTGCATTTTTGTTTGCTACAAAGCTTGTGGTGGACATCCGCCGTGAGTCGACCTAGCGCCCTGAGACCAAACGTTGCGAACCCATTCTTCGTATTTTGTGGGCTGTCTTAATTTTGGATGAGGAAAGAAGGATGGGGAGATGTTAAGCGAAGGTTTGGCGCCGTGGGGCCTGTCATGTTTGCGTATGTTTACAGGAGCCATCTCTTGTCGTTCAGTATGACAAGGAAACCTTGCTTCGTTTTATTTGACCTCGTTGTTTGATGCATGTTGTGAAGGATGGGGTTTTGAAAAGATATTGTTGAGGTTTTGAGCTCACGTCCTTTATGTTTGTTGCAAGCTACGCCAGGCTTGCGCCGGGTCCGGTTCCATCTTAGCGTCAGCGTTCAAATTTTCCCCTGCAATATAGGGTTTTCGCGCGGTTACAATCAAGCTCTGGTTCTTGGAGATAGCTCTACGTGTTTGACAAAGCTGTGGACAGCTTTGACTCTTTTAAGAAGAGTTTGAGAAGCTTTGGACAAACTTTGAAAAGCTTCTAAACAGTCTTGCATGATTGTGACTTTGGCTCAAGGAGCGGGATCAAAAGGCCGCATCCGTGTTTTCACAGCATTGCACTTGAAACTTTCAGCAAAATGTTCATGTGGCCAAAAGCAAGCCAAAAGTCTCTTTCTCTCCGGCTGAACTTCTGAAGATAAAGAAAGCTTCAAGCAACAAGAAGTTCTCCAAGTGCACTTTGGTTAAGGGTTAAGACTCTGCCACAGCAAACAACAGGAAAGGAACCAAAAAACAACCAGTTCAGTTGCAGGCAGCTCCATCAAAGCGTCTGCAGATTTGTGTAAGACGGTGAAGGTGGACTGTAGGTGCAATGTGCAAGTCAGAAGCTGAGACTAGACATGGCCCAGGTTCCAATGGGGCTGTAGGCAGAAGTGGAAAACGCATGGTTGTTGTTGTTGGTTGGTTGGTTGTTTGTTTGTTTGCTTGCTTGCTTGCTTGCTTGCTTGGTTGGTTGGTTGGTTGGTTGCAAGAAACGTAGGTTGGTTGGATGATGGGTTGGCAGGTTGCCTTTCTTGCAATGTGAACCAAGTGCAGACGTGTCGATGGTTGCAAAGCACCAAATAAAGACGTGGGTGCAAAGGAGACAGGTTTTTTTAACCCCAAAACATCGTGTGACCACCTGACTCTCCACCCGTGTGACCAGCAGCTGTCACACAGTGTCGTGCGACGCGCTCTTCTGTTCGTGTCTCTCTCTTGTCTTCTTGTTGAAAGAACACTTTTCAAGGGAATGACGAAAGTGCGAATTGTAAAAAAGAAAAATGCAAGGCCACGAGGCTAAAATTTTGTCGGGTGTGTTTCAAGGGGCGCAAACCTTTGCCGTTGCAGTCTTCGCAAAACAAACAGAAATGATGCAACTTGCCGCATTGCGTGGTCAGCTGGCTGGAAACGAAAACAGCTGGACAAACTGGACAGGGCCAAAACGATCCAAACAGTGCCAAACAGCCAACCAAAGAACCCAAAAAAAGACAGCGGATGAGGCAGTCGAAGCGAGGGAACAAAACACTTTTCCAAACTTTCCACGCGAGAGCGTCCAAAACATTTTTCGACATTAAAATACGTTTTTTGTTTAAAACATAGTAAGGCTTATGGTATGGACAAACATGTCACATTTTAAGACTCGATTTGCATCCGAGCAATCGAAGAATCCGCCGAGATACCGAAGGTTCGGATCAACACTGAAGACAGCACACGAATTGTAATTATTGCATGCTATTTCCGGTGCCTCGTTTGGTGTTCCTTGTGGCCAATCTTGCAAAATTTGTGCACAATTCTGCAGTGTGGACATGAAACCATAGAATAACATACACTTGTCTGACCACAATCAAACAGATTGATTGGAATGGCCATGTTGGTGGGCTTTTGGATGTTCAGCCTCTGTGCGATTGACATATTATTTTTGCCATGCCTCCAAAGAAGAAGGCTGCTGCTGAGCCAAAAGGCAATGCTCGGGCAAGGGGTTCGTTTTTGAGCGCTTGAGCTCCCAGATTGACTGCAATATACTGCAATACATGTTCTGAACATGGACGGCAAAAGGCTGACTTTACTCTTAATAATACGTGACTCTGTTGCACCTTTGTTGAAGCAAGCGGGCAGGGCACCCTCATCCCTGTTTCACCAATCTTGTCAATCTTGGTCAGGATGTGTTGGTTTCACCAGCCAATGTCACATGGTGCTTTGGTCGGTTTAAGTGTACTTGATGTTCTCCCTTTTTCTTGCAGCTGCTCTTTCCCTGGATTTGTGAACACGATTCCTTGTGAGACGCCGTGTGACATGCCTATTTTGGCTCTGCCAGCGTTGTTTGCAGGTTCACCTCTGAAGAAAGCCAAGAAATCCTTTGCTTGGGAATGGAAGGCGGAGATGAGACCTCCATCCCCCAAGTCTCCGGGGCGTTTTCGGACAAGAGAATCATTGTCAATGCTTTCAGATTTTATAAAGTATCTCTGGCCCTGAAAAATAATCATTGCAGGATGGGACATCTTGGAAAGCATATGCTGACGAGGACCCTGAAGCATGAAACTGCGTCGTTTGGACCTGAAAACATAATCTTTCGAAACTTTGATGCTTCCGTTGATGTTGAATCTCAGCTGGTGCGCCTTGCTCGAACCTCCTTTTGGGTTTTTAAGCGGCGTTTGAGGGTTTCAGGGTCAGTGGAGCTTGGAAGCACAATCTCGGCAGCTTCGCCAGGATTCCGAACTGTCATGTGCTCGGCAGAAGGACTTTGTATTGTCATTCAGAGAAAGGTTTTTCAAGAAGGCAGGAATCAATCCCATGCTCGAATTAACAGCAGGTCTGTTCGCCAAAGTCTGAGGTTGGAGCATCTTTATGCTACAGTAGGTGCAAAGGGGAAGGCAAGGCTTGGTGTGGGTTGAAAGACTTTGGCAGCGACTGCTACTGCTCGCATCAATTTTGAGCATGTCACAGGTGGTCACCACCGAGTTCTCCTTCAACCAGGAGATCATGTTTCTCCTGTTTTCCGCTTGATTTAGATTTATGGTGGATTCTGGCTTCTTCAAAGCAACGTTTGTCTTGGAATGGCATCTAGATCAAAAGAAAAAACAGGATCAACAAACAAAAGATCAGGATCAATAAACAAATAAGAACAGACTAGAACAAAATGAATCCTGAGTAGGTCCCCGGTCCTTTGGTCCCCTGGTGCTTCTTTGGTCCCCTGGTCCTTTGGTCTGAGTGCCCTTCATGAGGCAATGGGGTGTGTAGCTGTCGATGGTGATCTGTTCTATGGTGCCTTTTGAGTCTGATGGCTTTTGGTGTTTGGTTCGCTCTCTGGGGAAGCACTGCACCCTCCTCCCAACCCCCCTCCAGCGCCAGGAGATCTGCACAATGCGCTGGGCCTACCACGACAGGTTTTTTAAAGGTCACCTAGGCACCCATCGCTCACAGAAAATATTGCACACACACTCGCCTAAGTCTGTTTGACTTTGTTGCAAGCGGCTGCACGCATCCTTTCATCGTCCTGTGGTGGATGAGCCCTTCATTGATAGGGTGATAGGGTGTGTAGTTTTCGATGGTGATGTATTTTGTGGTGCCTTCAGCGTCTGGTGGCTTTTGTAGTTTGCAACCCCCCTCATCTCCATCACTTTGGCCAATGCACTGGGCCTGCCACGACCGATTTTTAAGGGTCACCCCATCGCATATTCATACCACATATTGCACGCCCTCACCTAAGTTTTTTGATTGTGTGTTGCAAACATCCTTTCCGGGTCCTCTGGTCGCCCGCTCTGCTGGTGTCCTTTCCCTATTCCTTTTTTCCTTCCATTGCTTACTTGGAATATTTTTTGATCGCAAATCTTTTTTGACCCCCATCGAATATTTTTTGATGTTCTTATTTTTGGATCCGTCACTCTTGGGGAGTGGCAGATGAACTTTTCTTTTGGCAGTCCACGACTCGTAGATTTCTGCCAACAGGAACACCAAACCAAATACGAGCTGAATTTCGCGAAGATGTCGCAGTCGCTTTGGCATGTTGTCCAGCTTTGAAGCTGACAATTAATTGTGAGATGTTTCTCTGCCTTACTGTAGTCGGTTGGAGCCTTCTCCTGCACGCCAGGACCAACTTGGAAAGCAAAAAGTCACGGACCATCCGCAGGAAAGGCTCCTTGGCAGAGGTGAAATATCGATAGGCACAAATATGCGCAGAAAACTGAACCTGCATGAGATCCGTGCAAGTTAAATTACCTTTATCCTCAAAGGAACTGATCTAGGAGCCATTTGTTTTTTGTACTTAAAATCTCTAAATCAAGGCTTCGCTGATCGAAACGAATCCCTTCAATACTTGGCATTTGCGGAGGTGACTTTGCAGCTGTGGTGAAGAAAGCAGTTCCTTGGATTAGTTGGAAGTCCCATCCAAGGCTTCTCAGTGACAGGCCGCACAGCAGAGACATTTTAACTCTTGGCCCACAGATTTCCTGGTTGTGGACCTACACTCCATACAAATGCAAACCGTTTGTTAAGTTTTCTTAAACATTTGGAAACCAAATCATTAGTGCAGCTATCCTGCGTCCAGTTACAGAAACTTTAGTGGCTAGAAGCTTACTTTCTCCCTTACTTAGTTATTTGAGTAGGCACTACTTGATTACGGACGCAGGACTACTTGTATGTAGTGATACCAAGTGAAAACCACCGAGGTCTGGGAATGGTGGTCAGATGATGATGAATGGGAGTCTTTCAAAGATGTGGATGCTCAGCTTCTTGAGAAGGTGCAACATGCTGGGTAAGATTCTTTAAAAGTTTTAAGCCCCTTCTAGGCTTTTGGTCTTTGGCATTGCTTTGTCTTAGCTTTCGTTTTTTGTCCATGAAGCCAGGCGTATGTGGCTGGAGAGACGCCCTTCAGCACGAAGAAACTCAGCCGATGCCCTAGGCCGTACACTCTTCGACTGCGTTTTTGGTGAGTTCTCACATGATCACTGGCGTATACTGCTTCAAGAATCACTGGCGGAGCTTGGGCCTTGGCGTATTTTTATGATATAGAATGAGTTTGCAACCAACTAGCATGGGTTTCACGTGAGGGAAGGAGTCTGTAGCTTTCTGCTGGAAACTTGCTTTTCCTCAAACCTGCCAGCCTTACAGAAATCATAGCTGATTTGCCCACCCAACAGTGCTGTCTGAGGCCATTCTTGAGTTGAGTTCATTCTTCGAGCATTCAAAGCCTTATCCCATCCGAGGTTGGAACGAAGGATTCGATAGCCTGTACATTTTTGATTTCACCGTCATGACGCAGGTGCGTCGATTTTTCAGATTTGCTTTTTGTCGTTTTGACACGGAGAGGTCAACTGTGAGAGCAAGACATCGCGGAAGATTCAGTGGGGAGCCGCAGACGAGGATGAGGGCGGTTGCTGAAGAATCGCATGCGATAAGCATGCTGGTGAAGGGGTGTAAAATGTGCGATAGAATCTGTTCACAGGGACTCTTAGTCAGAGTGTTATGAGATATCGATCGCCCGTCAATGTCATATTTGTCGGGGTCCTTTGTTGTTTATAGAAGTTGAATGAAAGGAGGTATGAAACTCGCAAACCCTGCCTGTCTATGTGCAATCGGAAGCCTTGGAACCGGAGGCGCACTGCGGCAGGTGGTTCCAAGCTCTTCGGCCACAAGGATGGTTGGAAGCCGAGAAGCGCAGAAAGAGATGACAGAACAGCAAACAAGCACATTCAACCGACTAGCGAGGGCCTCCAACCTAATATTGAGCCTCCAACCTGCACAAACTCAAGGGCAGATTAAGAAGAGATCTCTTTGTTCTTTTCAGACTGAAATACTATTTTGACCAAGTATTCCGCATGCAAGGGAAGTCACAAAATCATTACTGTATACAAATGAGAAACCAGCACATCAAAATGCACCATATCACGATGATTTGCAAAAATCTCAAATGCAATACTGACCATTCAAAAGCACTCAAATCCCATTTAAGACTCGGTGCCAACTTGAACGGAAAGTGCTCGATGCAGAGCGCAGAAAGAAACCCATGGTCGTGGACATCGCTGATCCTCTTCCAGATGAGTTCCACAAAATCTCAATGATTTCATCATGTCTTTACACGTTGCGAAACTATCCATTGGCTTGCCTCTGCAATTTTTGCCCACCGGCATACATGACACATCCCCCTTTCATACCGGATGCTACAGTACATCAAGGCGGGCATCGGGAGCGCTGAGATCTCTGTTGCGCAAATCCACCTAAAACTTTTGATTGGACACTCGGCAAGCTTTTTTCTGCTTCAAGAGCCTCCATCTCGTTTCATTTCAGTTTCTGAGGTGAGGATGACGGCTACGCTGGTGCTGTGGGATTCCTTTCGGACAAAGTTGGCGACACCACGGTGATGTTTGCTGGAAAGTTCGCCCACCCAGCAACACAACGACACTGCAGACAGCCATGCATGATTGGGTCAATGTTCGCCACTAGGGGCTCCTGGCATCGCTACTAGGAGCAAGGACGCTACTAGGGGCTCCTGGCCGTACTACGAGGAACAATGTTCGCTATTATGTATTCTAAACATTGTCATGCCGTGTGCCTCAACTTGCAGGTTCGAACCAAGCCTGTCTCCAGCGCATATTGCGGAGCAGAAGAAGCTTGGTGCACAGTCGCTCCGAAAGCAGAAGAAGGTGGACAACACCTTTTACGTCTTTGTTTGATGCCTTTCATTTAAACTTCTGCTGTTTTGCATTGGCTTGCACTGCGTTTCTTCTTGCTAAGACGCTCCTTTGGGAAAGCACAACGCTTCATTTGCAGGATTATGGACCCATTGTCTCCAAAGATGAGCATGGGAGGAGCTCAAAGTTGTTGCTTATCGTTTTGAAGTAAAGCCTGACCGCATTCGTTTTGAATCTTTCAGGTCATGAGACTTGCACTCTTGGTGAATACCTTTGCGTGTCAGGAAGTGTTTTGACGAGATGCTGAAGAACGAGAAAGAGTTCTGCGGCGAATGGGTGGTGCAGAGCTCGGCAAGACACTGTTTGTGTTTGACACGTTGGTCGAGCGGAGATCGAGTGACGCTTTAATATGCTTCACGTCAAAGGAACTATAGCGTGCTTGCTCCTAGCAGCTTCTTGCTCCTAGTAGTAGAACACGTGTTCTTTTCCCGACAAGATTTGCACGGTAATCGACCTCGTAGTAGAACATGTCGAGCTCTTTTTCGGCCAACCTGGTCGAGTTTAAAACACACCCTCCTAGTAGTAGGGCCAGGAGCCCCTAGTAGCGTCTTTGCTCCTAGTAGCGATGCACCTTGCTACTAGGCTCGTCAAAGTGAAACTAAGGTCTTTTACCACAGCTATTCAAGTGCAGTCGCTGCCTCGAATCCATGTTCCCAAACACTGGCGCCTGGCTTGCGCAGTGGCACGCACTTTGTTTGTTCATGTTGAGGCACTTCTCTATGAAGTACAAGCAGCAGTGGCAGGGCCTCCTGAGTTCAAGCGTCCAAGCTGTAGAGTAAAACTCTGCAAGCCTTTCGTTTTTGGACTTGAACTCTTTCCAGAACATTGCGACGTCAAGACAGAAGATTCCGGACTTCGCTCAAATTCCAACCTCAAAGGCCGAACTCAAAGATTCGACAGTGCATTCTTTGCCCAACCTAGAAGCGGCCTCCAACCCATTAAGAACACCAACCAAGCGACATGTTTCGTTTCCGTTTCCAAGGCTTCGGTGCTCTTTCGCTTTAAAGCCGAGTTTGCATCTCTTCCTCGATTGTTGTGCTCAGCTCCCAGTCGATTACCAGTGCGAAAGAAACGCAGTGCCATCGCCTACTCGTTTTTTGTGAAGGTGCTCCGTTCCACCACATCCCCACTGCAAAGCGCATGTTGGAGGAGTTCCCAAAGTGGAAGGATCAAGATCACAACCAGGATGGGAGCAGAGCACTGCATCAGTGAAGATTTGTGGTTAGCTCATTTGGATTTCGAATGATTTTAAAACTTTCAGATTCTTTCAGCAGATCCTGTCTGAAGTGTTTTCAGGCATTCCGTTTAGTTGGCTTGTGCCTTTGCCCCAGTGTTGCTTCTTTTGAGAGTGACTTTGCCTGTCATCGCCTTTTCCAAGGTGGCACCTCATCCTTGTTAGCGCATGACTCCGAAGCACCTGCAAAGTTGGCTGCTTAGATCTCAAGCTCGCTTTTCTGATACACCTGGCCGGCTACGGATTGGATCCGGTAAATCCTGGTTTGATTTGAATAAGCCACAGAGTGTGTGTCATCAGCATCTCTATTCTGAAGCGAAGGATACTGGTGTTCCACCTCTTGCTGCACAAAGCTTGAAGTAGCAAGTAGACAACCACTTCAACTTTTGCAAGGTCCGTCTTCCTGGCTGGTTACAGCGTTGGCCCTTTGAAGGCCGAGTGCCAGGGCGAGATTGAGTGCTCCAAGTGGCGCATCATGTTGAATCTCTTATGTTCTCTTGCTGCTTCTTAAATCTGAAGTTGCGCTAAAGAAGTGTAAGGATTGCATTTCCAAGACAGGAGTAGCTCCCCAAGTACCTGCTTTGTCTGAAACACCATACATAGTTGGAGGTAGCTCTCAGTCTAACTGACTACGACTTGCAAAGAAACTCCTGGTATGCGGGATTCCAGAAGGCTTCCTGCAAAGAAATACAACAACTTCCCAGTGAAAGCTGAACACATGAGAACATCACTGGTTGAAACCCGTTGGACGCGTTTTCGAGATCCTTAGGTAGGGCACTAGCAACCTCTTCCTATTAGGTTGGAGGCCATCGCTAGTAGGAAGGTCTAAAAAAGAGAATTGACACCACTGAGTTGAAACGGGCGAACACTCTTGGTGACTTGCGGTCAGGGAGTGCTGGAGAAGTTGCTGGGAAGTTGCGGAGTTCCTGCAGGGAAGGTGAAGGTGGGGGCGCTTCATGGACCTTTTTTTGCTTTAGGCCGCTCCCCCTCCCTACTTAATAGCAATAGCCTCCAACCTAACTAGGGATGGCCTCCAACCTAATAGCGAGGGCGCTCAAATACGAAAAGCAAACACAACAAGACACACATTTGCACAATGGCTCACACACCACATGTTCTTGTTAGGTTGTCAGTTGTCTGGCTTAGATATCTGGGGTAGGGAATGGAATGAAGAGTTAGAGAGAATTGCAAGAAAGGACAATTGGGCTGGCACCAAAGGAATTCAAACTGAATCCACTGCGACTGGTGAAGACCATGTGCATGAAGAACGAACTCAAGTGGCGATTTCAGTTTAGAAACCCATAGGTAGGTGAGCTTAAGTGAGACAACCCTGGACTTTGACTAAATCAATTCCATAGGTGATTCTATTTGAATGCAGCGTTGATCTCACAAGGAGGCCTCACAAGAACTGAAACCAGAGTTATATAATACCCAGAAGCAGTCAGTTCACACTGAGTGTGCAAGGCTGGCATGCACAAAAGGCTGAACTCAAGAGTCCATTCTTTTGAGCTGTAGAAAGTAATTGCGTGCGATGTCTTGAAAGAGTTACTTTTCTATTCTTTTTTGCAGGGCTTGGCCACTGAGATCATCAAGCTCGCAGTGAAGAAGCTTCCTCAAAAATCTTCGCCATCGCGCGCGAGTCAGTTTCGGTGCGCAACGTGACGATGTGACAACTTGAGGTGCGGCCTCGACTGCTCTGGCATCCCTGGTGGAAAGAAATGCAAGTCACAGTCCTAGGGACCTGTAGATCATTAGTATATTTAATTTGTATCTATTCATATCATTTAAGTGTACCCTTCTTTGATCCTGTTTCTTGTGTTACATCATTGCATGTACGGAGCTTGTGCATGTTTTGCATACAAATTAGGATCTAGTTCGGAGAAAACTCACTAAATGCTTGGATACCCGGTGTGTGGTGTTCGGATGTTAATCTCTGACGTCGAGTTGAAAGACTTCACAATGATCGAGTGAAACATCCCCACCATCAAATCTCCAAGGTCCGGTAGATCTGGGCACATGCTGCAGATCTTCTTGAGGCTGGGCAAACTGTCGTCAGCACCTGGCAAGGTGCAGGATACTGGCCGTGGTGAAGCTTTGAGCGATGGCCTCACCCTACTAGCGATGGCCTCCAGCCCCATCACCAGAAAGGACAAAAGAGATGTTTGAAAGAAGAGTGCGGGAGGGAGAACTCTGTCCATCCCTGTCGATCCATATCACGCCACATTGGCGAGGCGAGAACTCTGCGACGAATATGCCAGAAACTTGTTACTAGAAGCGATGCCCTTTGTTCCTAGTAGCTTCTTGCTCCTAGTA